CACTTGAAAGTATCAGAAATACGATATCCGATTTGAACCCGCTTCACTCGGTTTTCCAAGCGAGAACGATACCATTGGACTACCGCCTCTAGCTTAATTTAGGGTTATCGAATTATTATTAAAATATTATTTGCTGACATCAGTCATAAAAACTTTTGATGTAATATAGTATATGGGGCCCATGAGTTGTATGAAAAATCTGTTGAAATTCGTATATTAAATTCATAGTATGTATAAATAAATGAGATATATAAAAGGTATAGGCTAAAATCTTTAGATATTTCGTTACATTCATTACTCAAGCACAAAATTTTTCAAACGATCATATATGTAGGTAACTAAATCGCCATTATATTTTTACATAACCTTATCGTATATCATATACTCGTAAAACAAATACAAAAATCATATTTTTTAAGAATGTTATAATAAATTTATGATGATAGGATACGCTTCAAAGGGTTCTTTTTGAAGTATTTATTTATTTACAAACTATGCGACCCTTTGCTTGGTAGTAAAATAATATGAATATATTAAAGGAAGACCGAATTTTAAATAGTATACATACATAATTTCATAGATTTATCCTATTGAAAAAAAATCTAAACACGTCCCCGGCTTCACCCGAATGTATAACGCGAAAATTTTCCCAACTCAAATATACATGTTTACCAATTTTGATGGCGATCGATTGAACGGTGTAGAAGTTAATGTGTTATAGCGCCATCTAGCGGCGAATTATAGCTAAATGGATAGTATAAAAGCTTTTCTATGTAAAAATACATGTTAATAAATATAAATATGTTAGGCCATTAACACACAGCATCATCTAGTTCCATCGTAAGCTACGAGGCCTGTGTTATGGATACCAGATAGTTTAACTTCAAAAACATACATATTATAAATATAATCACCCATTACTGGAGTACAAACATTCGCGGTCATCACACAAATGAATGTCCCCAGCGGGACTCGAACCCGTGACCGCTGGCACTGCAAGTAGGGTCACTACAAACTGAGCCAAGCGTGTCGTCAAAATAATCAATGAAAAACTTTTGTACGAACGTAAAATGTACATCTTGCTTTCTAATAAAATAAATGAGGAAGTGTGTTTAATTGAATGAATTATCACGTCCTTCTTCCACACAGTAATAGAACTAGGTAATAGATAAAAATTTTGTACAGGAAGTTTGTTTCGAAAACTTCGTCTACACAGAGTCAGTAATTCTTATATATTATTATATATGGGCAATGTATACGCTTGTACAACAGGATCCCAGAAAATGTTCAAAAGGCTTCTATCGCCAAAAGAGGATTGTGAAGTGCCGATACGCGGCGAGAGTAGGTATTTTTAAAAATGCTATCTGTTTCATACCGCTTTGCATCCCCCCGGCAGTGAACAACACAAATACAACATACGCAAATTCTCACACACACTATGATAGCAGCAGCCGGTGACGCGCGGGCGCTTGCGGGGGGCGGGGGCGGCGCGACTCGGCGCAAGAGCAATTTCAAAGTTTATCTAATATTTATTATTTTAACGGTTTGCGTACAATATACATTCCCTACAAGTTACATCGCACCTTTATTCATAAACTGAAATAACTCTAAATTACAATTCTGTGGCGAATATCATTTAAAATTTGACTTGTTTAGATTGATGACTTCAAAAAATCATAAAAAAATAAATAGGTGCTTTAGATCAATTACAAAAATCTCGTTCCAAAAGTTGAAAGTTATAGAATTTTTTGTTGTTTATGTACTAATAGACCCATCGGAATCCTTTTATTGTTAAAATAATTATTTTATTGAAAACCTGAAGTTTTATGATTTTATAATGTTAGCAGGTATATAAGGAATAGAAATTCATAAAATGACCTGATCATGAATGATGATGATTTACGATTTTTTAACATATCTATGACTAAATTTTATAAAATATATCAAATTAATTTTTAAAAAAAATTTTTAACTAATGAATAAACAAGATTAGATTACGAATGAATTTCATTTCTTTCTGTAATTGCCCTAAAATCATTTTTTTCAGAAAAATCAATAAAATTAACTCCAAAAACTAATAAAATATCGATAATTTCGAAAAAATTATAACGAATAGTATGTGTATATATATATAATTATACACATACTATTCGTAATAATTTTCATAAAATTATAACGAATATTATAAATTATAACGAATATAAAATTAAAAATATAAATTTTACAAAAATAAAAGTATTTTTATTGCTCCTTCTAAACGGTAATAGTCCAGCAATTAGCAAAAGAAATCGCGTGACCGGTGGTGGGCGAGGGGTGGAGGGCGAGGGGTGGAGGGGTGTAGGAAGTGGTCCTTACTCATTCAAACTTGGCCAGATATAATGATGATGATGATATAGAAAATATTTTTATTTTTGTATGAAAATGAAAATTTAAGAAATATTTTTTTTTCTTGTTACAGAGGTTGTTGTTATGATGTAAATAGTATATTCCCAAAAGGTCTTCAGTAAATTAAAAATGACCCTGTATATATATATATATATATATATATATATTTTCAGTTTTGTATTTTTTCTCAGAAATGAGATATTTTCCCGCGGTAATGCTATAATATGTTGATCCGGATAACCAGCTACCACCATACCAAATTTCATCAAAATCCCTCCAGTGGTTTTTCTGTGACGTGGTAACAGACAGACAGACATACAGACAGACAGACAAAAATTCAAAAAACTATAGATTCGGCCTCTGTATCGATAATAATGTTTATTTCAATAATATTTTCCAAAAAATATTTAATGTACAGATACGGCTTAGTTACAATCTATACATACGAGTATAATAAAATTCTAAACTTTGGATTGAATCCTTTCAGTATCGATCGATATATCGATATTACCTTCGCCTCCCTAGGAGATAATAATATCGATAGCACCTTCAACATCACTACAGTCTAAAATATGCCCCTGCCCCCGACCCGTATGGTGCGATAGAGAGAGTTGCAAGTCTTAGACTCAATTACCTACATTTCCTTTTTGAAATATTGTTTCGGGCGATAACGTTTTCACCCCCCTAAACATTAACGAAATGAGACGATTTTGGTCTCATTAGATTCAGTACACCTTAATCTAGGTCTGTACGTTTTCCTTTTTTTGTAATTCAGTTTAGTTTAATTTAAACAAATAAAAACGCTGGAGGAAGTTTTTAGGTCAAAAATATAGATATTTAGATGCTAATAACTTCTGTCGTACACAATATTTCAAAAAAATAAAAACGTACGGACCTAGATTTTGATTATATCTACAACATTTCCAAAAATAATGAAAATTAGACTATGTTTAAGGGGGGAAAAACGTTATCGCTTTTTGTATGAAAATTTACAGGTTCACAATCTTCTTAAAGAACGTTTGTGTGCTAAAGGCTATTATACAATAAATGGTTTTATAGAAGATGGCACACCTTGGGAATGAAATGATCGCCCCCAGGATACTTCAACTTGATAGAAATATTGTAAATTATAATTTTACTTTAAAAAAGATAACAAGTTAACATTGGTCCCGCTGAGTTTCTTTCGCCAGTTCTTCTCAGGTCTGAGGCTTCTTCTTTCCGAACTGGTAGTAGACTCATGACGTTCAGTAAAAAATTGTAATAATTTAATGCTGAATAAAATATTTTGAATTTTGAATTTCTTCATAAACTACTTTTAAAACCCTACATTTGCTTACTGACGTAGAGTATATAAACGTCTACTATTAGACAACTAACTATTAATATTTTTTTATATTTTTTCTATATCTAAATATCGTGATACAAACTATACTATGTACCTATTCATTCACGCTGTGGTATATCTAGAATATAGATGCTAACTGCTATATTATCTAAATTAAGACAATGGTTTATGCGTTATTATATAACAAATGTCCAACATTTACACACACTTTTATACTATTAGTAGGATAAGCGCTTTAAAACTTTTACAGCCAGTAAAAACGATCAATACCAATTGAATTGCAAGGAAATTAAATTTTTTGCTTGATAAGGCATCTCTCTGAGCATAAAATTAGTAGCGTTAACTTTCAGACTGTTTGGAAAAAAAGACACTAAAATTCAATTTGTCTCGCAAACTTTAGTAATTGCTGATTCTCAAAAATAACTAACTATTTCTATGCCAAAGGAAAATAATATAAAAAGGGTATTCATACATAAAGCATATATGTAAATATATATAATTAGGTGTTATGTTATATATGTATGTACATATAAATACCTACACTATAACGTCATAATTTTTAAATTTAAAATCATATAGAATTTATTAATAGTAATTGTGGTGTGTTTTGTAAGTTCATTAATCACGCAAAAACTATTTAACACAATGACTATTCAGTAAGAAATAAAAGTACCATATACAGAACAAAACTTTACATAACAAAATCATACGATTGATGATGATGATAACGTTTCAAAAACCAATATCTTTTTTCAAAAACTTAATACATGCCTTCTTTGATTTAGGCGAATATTTAAAATGTTAAATACAACTGTTTATGAGGATTTTTATCTACTCATAAAATTAAATCATAATTTTAGAGATCAAAAAATCAAACAAATCCATGAAAAAAAATCCTAAATAAAAGATACTTACCAAGTTTTATTTTAAATATACATATACATACATGCCTAAGAGCCCAACTTGAGAACACTGATAAGAATTTATCACAAAATTTAATTACGGGAAAATGTGTTTAAAAGTGACTTTTGATGAAGAAAATTGATTTCTCACACTTATTAAATCGATTAAAACTAATTAATTCAAAGCAATAAACATTTCAATAATCAAAATTAATATCACATAATGGCAAATTATATTTCACACCTTATTAATGAGTTGGCAACCATTTTGAAAATAATTTCACGCATGATTATATTTTTTGTTTATAAGCAAAGGAATAGAGTCATTATGCCGTAGTTCGTACGAAGGACCTAGTACTCGTAGCAATATGAAGTTCCTGATCTTCTTTGGTCTTTGTTTGGCTGTAGCCTCTGTCGCCTCTGGGGTAAGTAACAATAATTTTATGTTCAACTTAGTATTCCTAAATAATATATTATATGTACGTATATTTCATATATTTACTATTTCATCTGACGTCTTTTTTTATAAAGTATAACTTTTATTATAAATATCTTTATGATGTACCCCTAACTGGATAGATGGAACGCATATTTTTTATTGCTTAAAGTTTAGTATAAGGTAATAAAAACGGCCCGTATTACTGCACTGTCGCTTATATTTTGATATGGCTAAATGTACGTGTAATTTTTCTACAAATATTTCATACATTTTCCTCTATTCTTGTCAGTGGAAGCGTAATTTACTGGGAATGTGAATCTTAATACTTAAATTGTACCTACTAATTGGCATTAGCCAAACACATTTATAATGTCATTTAAAGTCCAATTTAAAATTCTGGTGCAAGTTTCCCTTAATCATTTTCGCCGTTTGGAAGTTTAATTTAAAATTTCATTTAATTTTTATTGACTATAATAATATTTTAAATTTAACTATATTTTTTTTTCTTTTGTTTTTACAGTACACCTATAAGGTAATTTTTTTATTACACAATATGTACTTAAAAAAAAATTGAGAAAACCTCTAGGTTTACATATAGTACAAGTTACATCAATTTGTTGTATATTCTTTATTGCACTTATGAAACATAATATTACATATTGAAGGACAAAAGGCAAAGGTGATCTTATGTCTAAAAGAGATTTCTTCCAGTCAACCCATGGACGTGATAGATAGTGTTAAGTAGCAGGTCCATTAAGTACCAGAATATATAATATAAAAAAAATATCCCCAACTTCTTTATATCTAATTTATAAAGTTAGATTATCAAAACTGAGTTTCATTTCTCATGTTATTCATTTTCATGTTATGTTGATATCTCATATTAACCTGCCATTAAACATTTTCCTAAAAACGTTGTATAGGTACTAAACAAATTATTGAAATAAATATTTTTTTGTTACTATTATTTTCAGTATCCATACTCGTATTATGGACCTAAGCCCTACAACGATTTAGGCGTAAGTAATTATAATAAAGCTTCATTAATTAATTTATTTATATTGCAAACCAGAGCCACACAAAAATACTTAATTTTAAAATAAAAATTGATGTGCGGATTAATTTTTGTTTTGTTTATATATTAATATTATTAAATCTATTTTTGTGGTTTCGTCAGTTCGGCAAACTAAAAAAAAACCAAAAGAATTTCTTAACATGTGTGAAGCCAAATTATGTATATTATATGTTTTTAATATGTTGATAAAAATAAATACTAATGATTTACATATTTTTATTGATTTATATTTATTTAAAAATACGTAAAATTAAATATTTATTTATATTTATTTAACCGTTTTCATAACAATAAAATACTATGCAACTTTAAAATCAATATTTTAAGAAGTAATTTTTTTTTTCAGTATACACCATATTATGGATATTATTCACCATACACCTACCACGCATCGGTAAAAACCAACTTACTATTGTAAAAAAAAAATCCTGCCCTTTTCAACATCCTACTGTTCGGTCTTTTCAACCCGAGTGTTGTAAGACTATAGTCAAGAATCGTGAAAAAAATATATTTTATTTATGTTCAACATAAATAAAATATAATTTTGCCTTCTTACTTTGAACAGCACTATACCTCTACTTACGGTACAAGGATAATTTTATAAGTAAAAATTATGTAGATAATTAAGTTTTAGTTTTAAAAATTATTTATATAATTATATGGATAATTTGTTTTAATTAATCTATTTTTTTTATTTTCAGCCTTACGAATACGGTTATGCTGGTACAGGCGGCTATAAGACATACGATGGTTATGGCTATGGCTATGGCTATGACACCTATGGAAAAGTAAATATACTGACTTATCTATCATATTACGTTTCTTCCTTTAAAGATTTAATTACAAAAAATAATGAAATACTTGAGTTTATTATATAAGTACATAAGTTATTTCTTAAAATTTTAATTTAATTTTATATAAATAATTTTCTTTAACGTATTTTTGTTTCTCATTTCAGTATTACCGCGGCTACCCTGGCAAAGTAAGCTAATAAACATTGAATTTTTATAAAATAAAATACAAATAATAATATTATTAATACTATTTTGATAATTTTTATTTTTTAGTATAAAAAGGATCGTACTGTAAATGTTTTTATATTTAAGGAAACTAATCTATTTTAATCTATAGGTACATATAATAAAATTTTAACTGAGTCGAATCTGTACATGAAATATTTTTTTTCTGTCAGTCTGTGACCGTATCCCGGAAAAACCACTGGAGGGTTTTTTTGGTCAACATATAGGTACTTTTTACTGCGGGAAAATATCTCGTCTCTGAGAAATCTATACCAAACGTTAAAACGTAAGTAGGGACGAACCCGAGCGGAACGAGGGTGAGTCGCTATTAATATTTTTCTCCTTACTTTGAACAGTACTATACCACTACCACCGAGGTAATTTTATACGTAAAAATTATATACATAAGTAAATTTTTCCTGCGATTATAATGAATTCACCTCACCATTATAGTGTATTTCACTTAACAAATATACTCGAAGTAGCTTATAATCTCTCACATTTATAATATTGGTGCGATTTTTATAGATGTTGTTGGCATTTAGTTATTTAGTTTTTAGAAATAAATACAAGCTTATACGATGCCATAAATAATACCAAGTTAAAGAAACAAATGTTGTTACACAGCCCATAATATGTATATTGACTTATTCATGTTTTCCTTTTGTTTATTTTAGGATCCGCCAACGTGCCCAGGCGAAGTAAAAATTACAATTTTCGTTTTCTAGCATTTTTTTTTATTAGTTTGACTATTTTATAGTATTAGCGATTTTTACAATTTTATAATATTTGCGATTTTCGTAATATTATTAACGACTCACCCTCGCTCCGCTCGGGTTCGTCATTAGTCACCTTTTAAAGTTTAGTATAGATTTCTCATAGGCGAGAGATTTTCCCGCAGCAAAAAGTATCATATATGTTGACCCGGATAACCAACTATCATCATACAAAATTTCATCCAAATCTCACACAGACAGACAGACAAAAATTCTAAAAACTGTAAATTCGGCCTCTGTATCGATAATAATTTTCAATAAGATTTTTAAAAATATATTTAATGTACAGATTCGACTCAATTAGAATTTTATTTTTTTATATGTATAGATCTTTCCTCCTTACTTTGAATAGTACAAGGTTAATTTTATAAGTACAAAATATGTAAAATTCATTCGCGTTAAGAAAATACCGAATCATTGTTGTCGACCGGCCTGGCCACACCCCCCCCCCCCCTGTTCCTACCCCCGTCCAATTAGGTTGCATAAAATTATAAAGTCAGGTTCACAATGTCCAGTTTTTTGACTTCAGACTTTACTTTGATTTGAGATAATTAAATAATCAATTAAACTATCTCAAATCGAAATAAAGTCATTGTCATTATATAATGACTTTATTTTGGTTTGAGATAATTAAGTTGATTAATTATCTCAAATCAAAATATAAAGTCCTTATCATTTTAAATCAAGATTTGAGATAAGTAAGATAATTAAGTTGATTTTTATCCATTCAACTTAATTTTTTGAAATATACCTATGTGAATTTAATTTTTACTCCACTGTGAGTAAACCTTTACCTGCCGTTGTACTTGATGACTCACTATTTTCTTAACGCCAATGGACTATAGATATTAGGTTTTACCTGCAATATTTAATGCATCATCTTCATTGTGTATTTCACTAAAATCCCTTGAGCCGTTAGCTGCTAAAATAAAGTAGCTCATAATCTTTCACACTTATAATATTGGTGCGATTTTTTCTTATACAAAAGTGATAAACATATCGTTGGCATTTTAGTTTTTTAGTTCTTAAAATAAAATACAAGCTTATACGATTAAGCCGAGCCATTAAAAACGCCAAGTTAAAGAAACAAATATTACACAGCCTATAATATATTGTCTTAATGATATTTTCCTTTTGTTTATTTTCAACTGACTTCAAAAAGGAGGAGATTCTCATTTCGGCTGCATTTTCTTTTTATGTATACTCAGTTTACCTCAGAACTCCGTCGTTTTATAACCCACTTGGACAATATTTGTTTTATTTGAAAGTGTATACTTCCAATTTGCCCCCTTTTAAATTTGAACAAAACAACCCCTAAAGGTGGAAAAATAGCTAATGAAAATTTAACTTCTTCTTATTGTCATATTGACTTGAAACTTTGCAAGTGTTTCTATTTTCGTTGATAATGTAGTGGTTCGATATCGTCGACCTGATCTGATGGTAATACCAGAAGGTGGATAGCTAGAACTCTTCAACGGGTAATAGTAGATACTTTGAGTTTGGACTTAATTTGTTTGATTTGACAAGCCCAATACGTCAGAAATGGATTTTAGAGCCAGATTTTTTATTTTGTGTTATTAATAAAAGCGCATTTTAGTTTGTCAGTCTTTATATAAAAACTGGCATCAAACCAACATAAACGGCTTAAGCGAATATTTTTGTGTATTTTACTACTACTTTTTCTTACTTTGCTACTTCTATTTCTACATTAAAAAGAGAAAAATAAAAACTTAAAAAAATAAAAACCGCCTTAAAAAACACTAAAAATATAAAATATGTAACTGACTGGTAGTTTTCATTCACTATAGAAACCTAATCAGATATTTTCAAAGTCAGTGCCAGCCGATACAAATCAAAACACACCGACTTCGCAAATAACTTATTAGGGATACCTAATAAGATATTTTCTTTCTATCTATAGATAGTAAATGAAAACTACCAATCGGTAATTTTTTACTTTTTAATGTTTTTTTAAGTCGAATTTTATTTACTTTTTTTTTAAGTTTTTATAGTATCCGACAACGTAGACAGGCGAAGTAAGATTTACAATTTTTATTTTCTAACATTTTTTTTAATTAGTTAGACAATTTTATAACAAAACTAAACTATTTTTTTATTCATTTTATTTAGTACTCGCCCTACAAGGTACGTACGATATTCCACTATATACATATATTTCACTTTATTCAAATATCTTTTCCTCCTTACTTTGAACAGTACTATACATCAGTAAAAATTATATAGATAATTAGGTTTTACCAGCAATATTTAATTCAGCATCTCCATTGCGTATTTCACTAAAATCCTTCGGACCATTAGAGTGTGAAGGAGTAATAAACAACAACAACAAAGTAGCTCATAATCTTTCACACTTATAATATTGACGTGATTTTTAGTTACAGCAAATAAACTGATTTAAAACAGGTTATTAAAAATGAAGTTGACCTTTTGATTTTTTCATTTCTTAAAACGAAGTACAAGCTTATATGATGCCATAAAAAAAAATAATTTGTATATTCATTAATATTAAAAATAATTTTTCCTCCTTACTTTCAACAGTACTATACCCCTACCTACGACACCAAGGTAATTTTATATGTAAAAGTTGTATTTATAAGTAGATTTTAACTGTGATTATAATGAATTCCCCATCTCAGTGTATTTCACTTAACAAAAATACTCGTAGTAGCTTATAAACTCTCACATTTATAATATTGGTGCGATTTTTATAAATGTTATTGGCATTTACTTATTCAGTTATTTTAAAATAAGTACAAGCTTTTACGATGCCATAGAGAATGCCAAGTTAAAGAAACAAATGTTGTTACATAGCCCTTAATATGTATATTGACTTACACATATTTTCTTTTTGTTCATTTTAGTATCCGGCAACGTACGCAGGCGAAGTAAGAATTACAATTTTCATTTTCTAGCTTTTTTTTAAATTAGCTTGACAATTTTGTAACAAAACTAAATTATGATTTTTTTATTTTCCATAGTACCCTACCTACAAGGTACGTCATACAACTGTATATATTTCACAATATTAAAATAATTTTTCCTCCTTACTTTGAACAGAACTATAGGTACCTCTACTTACGGTACAAGGATAATTTTATAAGTAAGAATTATGTAGATAATTAGGTTTTACCTGCGATATGTAATTCAACATCTCCTTCGCGTATTTGAGTAAAATCCCAATAAAAAAACCGAGTGTGAAGGAGTAACAAACAACAACAACAAAGCAACTCATAATCTTTCACACTTATAATATTGGTGTGATTTTTAGTTATAGCAAACAAATTCTAATTTAAAACAGGTGACAAAAAATGTTGACCTTTAACTTTTTTTGTTTCTTAAAAAGAAATACAAGCTTATATGATGCCATAACGAAATAATAATCTGTATATTCATTAATATTAAAAATATTTTTTTCTCCTTACTTTCAACAGTACTATACCTCTTCCTACGACACCAAGGTAATTTTATATGTAAAATTGTATAAAAGTAGATTTTGACTACGATTATAATGAATTCAGCATTTCAGCATATTTCACTTAACAAATATACTCGTAGTAGCTTATAATCTCTTACATTTATAATATAGGAGCGATTTTTATGAATGTCGCTGGCATTATTAGTTATTTAGATGTTAAAAATAAATACAAGCTTTTACGATGCCATAAATAATGCCAAGTTAAAGAAATAAATGTTATTATACAGCCCTTAATATGTATATTGACTTACACATATTTTCTTTTTGTTCATTTTAGTATCCGGCAACGTACGCAGGCGAAGTAAGAATTACAATTTTCATTTTCTTGTATTTTTTTTAATTAGTTTGACTATTTTGTAACAAAATTAAACTATTTTTTTTATTTTCTTTAGTACCCGTCCTACAAGGTACGAAATACCAGTATATATATTTCACTTTATTAAAATAATTTTCCTCCTTACTTTGAAAAGTACTGTACATCTGCTTACGGTACAAGGGTAATTTTATAAGTAAAAAAAGATGTAGATAATTAGGTCTTACACTTAATACTTTCTTTATTTAAAAAGGTCTTACACTTACTTACCTGCGATATTTAATTCAGCATCTCCTTCGCGTATTTCAGTAAAATTCCAATAAAAGAAATCGAGTGTGAAGGAGTAACAAACAACAACAAAAAAATAACTCATAATCTTTCACACTTAAAATATTGGTGAGATTTTTAGTTATAGCAAACAAATTAATTTAAAACAGGTAACAAAAAATGTTGGGCTTTTAGTTTTTTTGGTTCTTAAAAAGAAATACAAGGTTTATGATACCATAAAGATATAAGAACCTGTATATTCATATTAAAAAAAAATTCTCCTAACTTTCAACAGTACTATACCCCTACCTACGACACCAAGGTAATTTTATATGTAAAAATTATACATATAAGTAGATTTTAACCGCGACTATAATGAATTCAGCATCTCAGCGTATTTCACTTAACAAATATGCTCATAATAGCTTATCATCTCTCACATTTATAATATTGGTGCGATTTTTATAAATGTTGTTGGCATTTACTTATTTAGATTTATAAAAATAAGTACAAGCTTTTACGATGCCGTAGAGAATGCCAAGTTAAAGAAACAGATTTTCTTACACAGCGCTTGATATGTAAATTGACCTATTGATATTTTCCTTTTGTTTATTTTAGTATCCGGCAACGTACGCAGGCGAAGTAAGTATTACAATTTTCGTTTTCCAGCTTTTTTAAATTAGTTTGACAATTTCGTAACAAAACTGAATTATCATTTTTTTTTTATTTTCTTTAGTACCCGTCCTACAAGGTACGAAATACCAGTATATATATATCACTTTATTAAAATAATTTTCCTCCTTACTTTGAAAAGTACTGTACGTCTGCTTACGGTACAGGGGTGACTTTATAAGAAAAAAAAGATGTAGATAATTAGGTCTTACACACTTACCTACGATATTTAATTCAACATCTCCTTCGCGTATTTCAGTAAAATCCCAATAAAAAAATCGAGTGTAAAGGAGTAACAAACAACACCAACAAAATAACTCATAATCTTTCACACTTATAATATTGGTGTGATTTTTAGTTATAGCAAACAAATTCTAATTTAAAACAGGTGACAAAAAATGATGGACTTTTAGTTTTTTTGGTTCTTAAAAAGAAATACAAGGTTTATGATACCATAAAGATATAAGAACCTGTATATTCATTAATATTAAAAATATTTTTTTCTCCTTACTTTCAACAGTACTATACCCCTACCTACGACACCAAGGTAATTTTATATGTAAAAATTATATTTATATGTAGATTTTAACCGCGACTATAATGAATTCAGCATCTCAGCGTATTTCACTTAACAAATATGCTCGTAGTAGCTTATAATCTCTCACATTTATAATATTGGTGCCATTTTTATAAATGTTGTTGTTAAGCTTTTACGATGCCGCAGAGAATGCCAAGTTAAAGAAACAGATGTTATTACATAGCGCTTGATATGTATATTGACCTATTGATTTTTTCCATTTGTTCATTTTAGTATCCGGCAACGTACGCAGGCGAAGTGAGTATTACAATTTTCGATTTCTAGCTTTTTTTAATTAATTTGACAATTTCGTAACAAAAATGAATTATAATTTTTTTTATTTTCTTTAGTACCCTGCCTACAAGGTACGAAATACCATTATATACATTTCACTTTATTAAAATAATTTTTCCTCCTTACTTTGAACAGTACTATACCTCTACTTATTAATCTACCTTTACTTACAATTTCGTAGATATTTAAGTTTTACCTGCGATATTTAATTCAGTGTCTCCATTGCGTATTTCACTAAAATCCCTCAGACCGTTAGAGTGTGAAGGAGTAATAAACAACAACAACAACAAAATAACTCATAATTTTTCACACTTATAATATTGGCGTGATTTTTAGTTATAGCAAACAAACTCTAATTTAAAACAGGTGACAAAAAATATTGGCCTTTTAATTTTTTAGTTTTTAAACAAAATACAAGTTTATAAGATGTCATAAAGAATGCTAAGTTAAAGAAACAGCCCATTATACATACGTACACAGGCAAAGTAAGAAATACAATTTTTGATTGCTAATATTTTAATTTAATATTTAAAATTAAAATGAATTTCAAACTTTACATTTATTTACGTAGTTGTTATTTTTGAATATCAGATTTGAATACCAAAAACATTAGGTCAATATTTAAAACAGGGTTCATACAAAAGCATATGACCTTCTAGTCTTACGCCCAAGGATTCCACAATTTTACAAACTAATTGTCAAAATATTCTTATTCTATTTATTAAATGAGCTACTATTTTTGAATTAATTTGACAATTTACTAACAATATTAAACTATTATTATTATTTTTATAATTTTCTTTAGTACCCGACATACAAGGTACGATATTCCACTAAATATATATATATATATATATATATATATATATTTGACTTTTATTTAAATATGATTTACAGAGATAAAAATTACATTATCCATACTATCACTGTTGGAATTCCATTCCCAAAGGAGAGCAATCAACACCCATCGCTTAAAAATAAAAATAATGGAAAACCGAACAAAACTGACAGCGTCATTACGATTCTGATAATGCTATTAGGTCCGTTTTAGGGCTCCGTACCCGAAGGGTGCCACCAGAACCCTATTACTAAGCCTCCACTGTCCGTCCGTCCGTCTGTCAGATGGCTGTATCTCATGAACCGTAATAGGTAGAGAGTTGAAATTTTCACAGAGTATGTATTTCCATTGGCTTTATAACCTAACACCAAATAATAAGAATAAAAAAATAAAACTACAAGAAACATTTATTAAAGTTCGTAAACAATCATCGAAGTTAATATACCACCAGCCCTGGATTTACTTAGGGGCACTCGGGGCCAGTGCCCAGGGCGGCTTTTTAGGGGCGGCAATATTCGGAGGATGGCAAAAAAAATTTCTTCGCAATGAAAAATAAAAAAAGATTAACTAGTAGGTACATTTTTCGAAAAATTGATATCATTTACAAATTATTTCTTTGTTTCTCAAAATAATAAATGAAAAAAATTAACATTTTCAACATTTTATTAAAAATTTCGATAATAAGGTGGCATTTTTACTATGCCCAGGGGCGGCACTAAGGTTAAATCCGGCACTGTATACCACATACATAGAGTAAAAGTCATATTAATAAAAAGTAAATATACGATGGTACGGAACGTATTTATTTGAATTAACTCAAGAGCAATAGAGCATCTAATATTATATTATTTGCTGTGTATCATAATCAAGAATATCTCAAGATAATTTCAAGATTTAAAATATTATTTTGTCGTCATAACTGTAATATTTAATTATTAACATTGTAAGATAAAACATAAGTTTTATCCTATATTATCTATACAATAATAATATATTCTTTGTAATTTTATCTGTTGTTTTTCTTTTACAGACTCACGAGGGATACGCAGGATATTATGATAATAAAGTATGTATTATTTTTAACAGTGCATATTATTCAAAATATATTTTAATTATAATAACACATCGTATTCATGCTTGAGATATAAGTTTACTATTTAATAGATAACGAAATAAGTACTATTGATTTGTTTTTATTTACAGTATGGTACTAACTACCCAACTTACAAGGGATACGGATACAGCGCTTATCCACAAACTCCATTGGTGAGTTTAAATATCCTAATAATTAATTTATTAAACACTGTAATTTCATCCAAATACAGTTTATAAGCCGTACTAATTCATACTGTTTAAATAATTATTTTATTAATTGTTTATTGAGTCTTTCTGTATAGTAAGTCTCAGAAACAGCCCGGAGTTGGGAAGTTGGCGGTGTTTCACCCCCGTGCCTCGGAGAGCACGTAAAGCCGTCGGTCCTGCGCCTTAACTCTCACCGGTCGTGTTGAGTGGTCGTCCCACCGGAGTATGAGAGTGATAGGAATAGAGAGTACACCTGTGTCTGCGCGTACACTTGAGCACTATAATATCTCCTCCGCAGTTGGCTAATCTCAATGAGATTGGCCGCCGTAGCCGAAATCGGCTAGGAGAACATCATCACTGTTTAATAATCTCTTAATTCATCAGAAAGAATTCATTTTGGATTGTTGATTTAGATAAGCGACTCACCCTCGCGTCGCTCGGGTTCGTCCCTAGCTTGCATCCCAATACAAACTTTCATCCCCATTTTCACCCCCTTAAGGGATGATTTCCGGAATAAAAAGTATCCTATGTTCTTCCCAGGGTCTCAAACTATCTTCTTCCCTTTCATCTACATCGGTTCAGTAGATCCAGAGCTTACCCCCTCTACATCTACAACTCGCTCAAACTCACAAACTAACAATCTCATAAACTTTATCTCTTTATAATTTAGTATAGATTATAATAAATAAGGAAAAGTGATAAAATAAATTTCACTGTCTAGAAATAGTTATTTCATATAATGTTTATCTTTACAGAGAGACAGTCAAGACCGCCGTGACGATTCAGGTGATGAAAAAGAGTAAATAAATCCTTACAACAATCCGACTTATCTTTTGAACACTGGACACAGAATGAAAACTAATGATTGAATATAAGTATCATTTCTGCAGCAACTATTTTGTTTTTTTTTTTATACTCACCCCTACATTTCTTACAATCTAATATACATTATAATTAATATACTAATTTATACATATAATAAAATTCTGAGTCTAATTAGTACGTTAAATGTTTTTTTGGAAAATCTTATTGAAATAGTCATTATCATCGATACAGATGTTAATTCTGTAGTTTTTAGAATTTGTCTGTCTGTCTGGGAATGCATCACGAGAAAACCCCTGGTCAGATTTGATGAAATTGGTATGATGATAACTGGTTATCCGGATCACCATATAGGATACGTTTTACTGCGGGAAAATACATATTTCACCTCTGAGAAATCTATAATAAACATTAAAACTAAAACTAGAGACGAACACGAGCGGAGCAAGGGTGAGTTGACCCGGATAACCAGCTATCATCATACAAAATTCCTTCAAAATCCTTCCAGTGCTTTTTCCATGATGCGGTCACAGACATACAGACAGACAGACAAAATTTCTAAAAACCCAACATTCGGCCTCTGTATCGAATATCGATAATAATGTCTATTTCAATAAGATTTTCTAAAAAATATTTTACTTTGTTACAATTCTATTATATGTTTATAATAGAGGAAGAGCCCGTGAACGCCAGACCTTCGTCATTTTATAAAAGCTGAAAGTTTGTCAGCGCATGCTCCCAACACAGATAAGAACGATGGACCATTATGAAGTTCAGGCTATGGTGGCTTTGGCAGGTACACGGTACTAAAGGTGTGTAAAATACCGATCTAAATTCGTCAAATAATAAAGTGTGATTTTTTGGTATTACCTTCAGAATATTATTAAAAATCACGTCATTCAATGCATGGTGGTGGTGTGTAATGAATGCTATGCTAGTAGTCTTATAAATCATCTAATTATTACCCAAGTATTATATATAAAAATCAGCTTTTATACTATAACGTAAGTAGAATTATGATTTTATGAAAAGGGTGTCTGGCAAGGGTTTACCACAATGTTAAGTGTCTGGCATTGAATGACGTGATTTTTAATAATATTCTGAAGGTAATACCAAAAAATCACACTTTATTATTTGACGAATTTAGATCGGTATTTTACACACCTTTAGTACCGTGTACCTGCCAAAGCCACCATAGCCTGAACTTCATAATGGTCCATCGTTCTTATCTGTGTTGGGAGCATGCGCTGACAAACTTTCAGCTTTTATAAAATGACGAAGGTCTGGCGTTCACAGGCTCTTAGGGTACTACGACTCAATCGGTGTCTAAATACCCAGAGTGTATTTTCATATTTTCATTTAATCTGTCTTTAAGTGTTCAATGGCGTACCTTTATTTTATACAATCTGACATCTGTCATTGTCAAATTGACAAGTTTTAGTTTACGAACTATAAGATAGACGCACTTAGTAATTTATTTTCCATTTAAACATTTATTCTGTATTTATTAAATAAAAATGTCGTCAGCAGTAGATCAGAAAGCTTATTTACAAAGATATCTCAGTGGTCCGTCAGGCGAAAAAAAGAAGAAAAAGAAAAAGCCTGTGAAAGGCAAAGGGCAAGTCCTTTTTCAATTAATATCAAAGATTTAAGATCTTATTAGATATTTCCAATAATTTATATTAATTATAAATTGTTGTAATTAATAATAGCATCCACGTCTTCTTAGTTTTTTTAGTTTGTTTCATAGTTTTTATTCTCCATCCAAAACTCATGTGAAACATATTTTTAAATAATTTGTAACACATAAAAACTTACTAGAAATTAATGATTATTTTAGTAATATGTATTTTATATATTTTCTCATAACTAAACTAAAAACCTAATCACTGAACTCTTATAAAGATTTGATTAGGCAGACTTATTGCCTAATAATCTTTACATTTACATTGTAAGTTGTAACCTCTAAGCTTTCTATTTTTTGATGACATGGAGATTACGGTTAAAATTTTTAATATAAATTACAAATTCAATCTTATTGCAAACAATCAGTGTATCAATTATAATTATGAATTTCAGATTTAAAATCATTGATGACGACCTAGATTTATCAAAACTTAGACCATTAGATGGTGAAGAATTGGATATTTTAAATGAAGGTGAAGACGCTCCACAAATAGCTGGAATCATTGATGAAAGACCCGATGAATTGAAAAAGTTAGATTATCAGATGTCAACTAAGTGGAGAGTTATTAATCAGGTATATTTTTTTAGAAATCATCAATAATGGAAAAAAAAATTCCATGATTTTATAGTTACATAAATGTCTGCTTAGATTACAAATTTTTTCTTGATCTCTTACTGTTTGGTTATACTTTAATCTATACAAATAATATAAAGAGGTAAAGTTTGTTATATTGTGAGTTTATGATGTTGTAGGGGGTAATCTCTGGACCTACTGAACCGATTTCTATGAAATTTGGTAAGAAGATAGTTTAAGACCCTGGGAAGGACATATGATACTGTTTATCCTGGAAATCACCCCTTAAGGCGGTAAAAATGGGGATGAAAGTTTGTATGTCGAATCAAGCTAGTATTTGTAATAAATAAAAAGTCCTGTCTAACAGATTATAAGATATACTAGTAAATGACTAGATCTTGAAAGTTTTTTGGAAAACGGCTTATATTTCTACTTAATACCTTCTAAATATGTTCATTTGATGAATACAATTACAAAATACATCTTTTTAGACATTATTTTTTTCAACCTGTACTGTTTTTAGTAATTTTATTACAATTCTTATTTTCTATGAAGTATTATAATTTAAGCCTAGTTAAAGTAATGTTAAAGTGTATATTACAAAGTACATGTATATTTTCAAAATAATAATATGAGGTATAAATATTGTAAGTATTTTAACAACATTGTTATTTCGTCCATAGGATGATGGCTTCAACAGTAAATTACAAGTGCAAGAAGTAAAAAAAGACAAAAAAGAAGTAGAAAAAGAAAACGAAATTGTTTTTGGTAAAATGTACAGTGATTCTGAAGATGAAAAAAATAACGATTCAGATTTATCACCACCAAGAAAAAATGATCAAATCAATAAACAATCTTCAAGTAAGAAGAGTAAACATAATAGTGATAGTGATTTTAGTCCTCCCAGAAAAAATAGAGGGAATGATTGTGATTTATCTCCTCCAAGAAAAAATTCCTTACAGCCTAGTAAAAATTTTAAGGACCGAAGTCCTCAAAGAAAATCTTCAAAAAAATCTAAATCAGAAAAGAAAAATTATGATCCAAATGCCTCGCCACCTAGAAAAGCTAGAAGACAAAGTCCAGGCAGACAAAATAAATCTAAACGTCAAAACAGTGATAGTGATGCAAGTCCTCCCAGAAGAAAAGATGAGTCAAAATCACAAAAAAGAGATTATGATTCAGACTTATCTCCTGCAAGAAAATCAAAAAATAGAAAACAAAGTAAATCAAAAAGATCTAATAGTGATAGTGATGTCAGTCCACCTAGAAAAAAGGAAAAGTCAGAATCAAAGAAAAGAAATTATGATTCTGATTTATCACCACCTAGAAAAAATGAAAATAAATCAAAGGAAAGAGCGAGAAAACCTTCTCGGTGGGGAGATTATGATGAAAACTATAGAAATTCACAGCGGAAATCAAATCAAAGCCCAGAAGTTTTTAAACAAAGAAGGTCACGATCACCAGACAGAAATAGACAGTTCGATAAGAAAACAAATTCCAATAACAGAAATAAGAAATATGATTCAGACGCTTCCCCTTCGACGAAATCTCGACATGTTACTTCAATTCAATCAGATTCTGATGTTTCACCTCCAAGAAAGCGTAAACCAGAAAAACAGAATAGTTATATGAAAAATAATAGTGATTCAGACTTATCCCCTCCGAGAAGAAGTCAGAAACATGAAAACAGAAGAATGGAAAAGACTTTAGACGGTAAAAAAGCTGGTTTACAAGATGCTAAACAATTGAAAGAAGAAAATAATGCATTCAGAAGAAGAGAAGATGAAGCATTTAGAAATATGACAGATGAAATGTCTGGAAGAAACGCCCAAGCTGTATCTAGAAAAGGTTATTGTTTTAGTCAATATTCTAATTTTAAGGTTTCTAATGGTCCAGAGAACCTAATAGGGTTTTACGAAACATATATCGTATATAAGTCTACATCCATAATAAATACGTGAAAGTTTGGGTGGATGGATGTTTGTCACTCAATCACGCCAAAACGACTGAACGGATCGGGTTAAAATTTGGCACACAGATAGATTATAGTCTGGAATAGCTCATATGTTATTTTTATCTCAGAAAAATGTATGGTTCGGTTCCGTCGTGGGATGTTTAATGTTTTCACTAAGCAAATTTATGACCATAACAAATAATGAGATTGGTAAACCATTAAAAAACTATAAAAGCTGACCAAGTGTGAGAAAGACACGCTGTTGGCTTCTTTGCTTATTTGATTTGCTTGTTTGACTTGCAATTAACAGAATTTTCTAGATGTTTTCTTGTCAAATATTAAATGAAGATATTTAATCAATCTGTAATTAACGAAAGTATTTTAATACATTCTTAGATTTACGCGAATATTTGACATTTTAAATGTACTATCTTTTCGGATTTTTTCACGGTTTTATTTTGATTTTTGTTCCCGACGTAACGACTGCTTTACAGCAATCATGGTCACGGGAGAGATAAGTAACTATAATTGTTGTAAAGCCGAAACTTTTTGAACTTTTATTTGAAAGTAATTTTAACTAGATTAGTTGTAGAACTCATATCTAATGCAATGTTTTTTATATATAACAATTTACAGGTAAAAGAGAAACATCAGAAGATAGACAAAAGCAGAGAGAAAAAGCGGAGAGACAGAAGGAATTGGATGAGAAATATAAGAAATGGAGTAAAGGGTGAGTAGATTCTAATATTAAAATGGTAATTGTTCAGAGTATTTAAAAACATATTTGTAACACAATAAAGTAATAAATTAATTGGTAAATAATGGCCTCTTTAAAGTCTGTTTTTGTTACGCCAATAGATCGATTTGGATCAGTTTTTTTTTTTTCATGACACAAATAGGCCCCTCAAACCCGCCAGTTTTAATTATAATGATACCTATATGACCCGTGAACTCGCGTTATCAAGAAAATCTAACGACGTATAAATCATCAAAATCGGTTAAACTGTTATACGTTTACGTTATAGTTATTACGAAGGAACATAGGGTCGAACTTACATATATACATACAGGTCAAACACATAACCCTCCTTTGGGCTTTGCCGCAATTGAGTAATAAAAATAGTAACTTTAAAATTGTATTTTTTCAGTCTAAAACAATTAGAAGCTCAACAAGCTGCCGCAGAAGATTTTATTCATGAATCATCAAAACCACTTGCTCGGTATAAAGATGATAGAGATTTAGAAAGCAAGTTGAAAGATGTAGAGAGACAAGGTGATCCAATGCTCAAATATATAAGAGAGAAGAAACGGGAAAGAGGAGATTTGGGACCAGGTAAGAGGCATTGTGTTTTTTATGAATAAATATGGACATTGGATACATGCAATAAAAGTAATTTTTAATTAATCACTACATAGTATAAAACAAAGTCGCTTCCCGCTGTCTGTCTGTCTGTCACTATGTATGCTTAGATCTTTAAAACTACGCAACGGATTTTGATGCGGTTTTTTTAATAGATAGAATGGTTAAAGAGGAAGGTTTATATTATGTATATTATATGCATATTATAATACAGAAAAGTCGAGAAATTCAAAGATTTGTATTTCATATTAACAGTTAAAACGTACCTTGGGGCGAACCCCGGCGAAGCGAGGGTGAGTCGCTAGTATATATTATATTAACTAGCGACTCACCCTTGCTTAGAGCAGATATTTTTCGAATGCTTTACAAAATTAATTGTAACAATGTTATCTCTTCGAAATCTGTGTGAGTTGCAGAAGTATTTTTAACCCCCGACGCAACAACGACGGGTTGTTATACGTTTGACGTGTGTGTGTGCGTGTGTGTCTGTCTGTGGCATTGTAGCTCCCGAACGGATAAACCAATTTTGATTTTGTTTTTTTTTTGTTTGAAAGGTGAATTAGTAGGGAGTGTTCTTAGCTATGTTTGATAAAAATCGGTCCAAGATGCCCGGATTTTTTTTTAATTTCTTAAACTAAACAATGTCATTGATATCTTTTTATACAATAAACAATGAAGTGCATTCACATCATCAGTAAGAGTCAAGTACCGGTCGAATCACTTTCCAGCAACGTTTCTTGTATAAAAATACTTTACCAGAACGATATAGAGCTGAAAACGGACTGTGATCGACACGATAGTGTGGATCAGGCCTTATCATTACTGCTTTCTTTGGTAGTAGCATGATGATATATAGCCTTCCTCAATAAACAGGCTATTTAATGCAATAAGAATATTTAAAATCGAATTACTAGTTCCCGAGATTAGCGCGTTCAAACAAACAAACAAACAACCTCTGAAACTTATAATATTAGTATAGATTTAGTATATTTTTTAAATATTTTTCTCATATATCTATTTTTTAAATATCTTTTTAGACTTAATTGTTACTAAAATTTATATTCAAAAATTTTTATAGAAAAATGGTACTGCCAGTGTTAAATAACTAACTGCGTCGTTTCCTTAATAATGAAAAAATAATCAAAATGAACTAAACCCTTTATGTATAATGATTTAGAAAAGAGTGACAAAAAAGAAGAAAATTATTATAATTTAATATTTATTTCATCACTAATAGTATCTTAACTTTTATTCTATTTTTTTCAGAGAAACCAACATACAAAGGCAATTTCCCGCCAAATAGATTTAACATAAGGCCAGGTTATAGATGGGACGGAGTTGACAGATCCAACGGCTATGAAAAGAAGTTCTTCGAACAACAAAGTAAAAGAAAAGCTCAAGAAGAAGAAGCTTATAAATGGAGTACCGAAGACCTGTAAATTGTAATTAAATGTAAATTCTTAAAAAACCTAAAAATGTCTTCATGTATAAATGTCAAACTAAAAAATCGAATGTACTATGAAATTATTAACTTTTTTTTATTAAAAAAACATGAAACAAGATTTTTTTTGCATTTTTATTTATGTTTAAAAAATATTTATATACCAGTAAATAGCCTCAAAACCACTTACTACTATAAAAAAACTGAATGGTATCTCTTTTTTTTTAATTACAATTTCATTTTATGTACAGACAATAAATAATAGTATGGAAAAATAAAACACAAAAGAATGAATCCCTAATTTATTTAAATGTTACAAAGCAATTTGTTACATAAATAATATTATACTTAAATGAAAATCAGTCAGTCTTAAAGATGAAGATGTAAAACGAAACTTTTAAGTTAAGCTAGATAAATTTAGAGATTTTTTGGGATTTTTTTTTCTTTATGTTCAACATTTTTAATTCACTTTTTTGATATGGCAAATCGTTTTTCAATTTTTAAATCAAATATAGATACATGTTATATTGTATTAAATATTTGCATAAATGTGTCATTGTATTATAAATATAAAACTACTTAGTAATGTAGTGAAGATGTTCATAGTATTTAAATTGTTACAACAATTATTATTTTACTTTAATATTGCTTATTTTTCAGTTACTTATGATCGTAAGAAAAATTATCAAGAACTTTAAAGTAATTTTATAAAGAATATAAAGAATGCCGCATACATTTTTTTCTTACAAAAACATTAAATAAAATGAAGTCGGTTGAAAAATGTTATTTATTAAACAGATTAAAAAAAAATGTATTGATGATTCAAAATGAAAGAGAATAATATTTTATCAATTTTTTTTTTTAATTTCCTCCTAGAATTTATCAAACATACGTACCACAGATTAGTAATTATATGAAGATAATATTATATTGTATACAAATATTTAATTATCGTCAATACTATAACTAGCACAAAGAATAATACGATCCGTATAATCAATATTATAAATGTGAAAGTTTGTGAGTAGGGATGTTTGTTACTCTTTAATGGCCTGAGAGCCTGTGAACGCCAGACCTTCGTCATTATTATTATATAAAAAACCAGCTTTTATACTATAACGTAAGTAGAATTATGATTTTATGAAAAGGGTGTCTGGCAAGGATTTGCCACGATGTTAAGTGTCTGGCATTGAATGACGTGATTTTTAATAATATTCTGAAGGTAATTTAGAAAAATCACACTTTATTATTTGACGAATTTACATCGGTATTTTACACACCTTTAGTACCGTGTACCTGCCAAAGCCACCATAGCCTGAACTTCATAATGGTGGAAATTTAAACGAAATCTTTACATATAAATGGATAGAATAATAAAACAAGGGGTAAAATGTTTTTTTATTTATTTCCTATAACGATACTGACCTAAAGTAAAATGAAGTATGTATATAATACATATATAATATGTTATATATTATTTTACACCAATTGTGTGTATGCATGTTTGTATCTTATCATGTTAAAACAGCAAAGTTCACATTAATATCCATACCAAATATTACCATAATAAATATGACAGTGTGTCTGTTTATCTTTATTTCGGATTTATGTTATTTTTTATACGAACATAATACCAGGATATGTACTAGCGATTCAGGCTCGCTTCCGTACACGTTAGGTACGCGGTTTTTGTTCACAATTTCATGGGTTTTAGTATTTTTATGCGGAACCCTATTTTATTTAATTTAAATATTCTGTAATTGTCAGTGTCGGAGTAGACATAGAGTGATATATTTGTTTTTCTTTCTGTTGTTGATTTTCAATTAATTTTTCCAAAAAATTTTTTACCATAAGATCTTCTGAAATGTTTTTATTAACAATAGCCAATTGTTCTTGGGTAATTTCTTCAATATCAGTCTATGTCTACACTCCAACACTATGACAATTACAGAACATTTAAATTAAAGAAAATTATATATATATATATATATATATATATATATATATATATATATATATATATATATACATATGCGTAATGCAAATAGCAACAGTTATATATGATACTATCTGTATGTTTGCATGTATGTATTCACATACGTATATTGTAACATCACAAGTGTTCACGAGTTCATATACATGTTAGTTTGTATGGAAGTTTGTGTGTATGTATTAATGTATGAATGTCTTGCATAATGTATGTTTGTGGGTGTATATATATTTGTGGTTGTGTGTAGGTCAGTGTGTGTTTGTATGTTTGTGTATGTATGTCTGTGTGTTTGTGTGTGAATGTTAACGTCTTCCGCGGTAACCGCCACGACCTCGCCTGTCCCTATCATCATGCTCGTTTTGATACTTTTGAGATTGGTAGCCTTGGGCAGTTTGGTAGCCCTTGTTGTAGCCGCCTCCTGCAGAAAATTAAATATAAAATTATAGTAAACCCACTATTATTAAAGCGAAACTTTGTATGTGTGTTTGTTACGCTTTCAGGCAGAAACTAAACGGATTTAAATGAAATTTACTTCATTTATATACTGTGATATGGAATAACACAAAGAGGAGCGATCATTAATCATTTTCAATCAGAAGTTTAAACTACCGTACAATAATGGAAACATAATAGTTTAGCCCTTTTAACGTCCCACATCTGGATGAGGACCTTTTCTTTATATTGGGACATTAACACACACCTCCACCTAGTTCTATGGTAAGCTACGAGGCTTGTGTTGTGGATACCAGAGTTGATACACTACACATATATAACTTTAAATACATACATATTATAAATATAAACACACATGACTGGAGTACAAACATTCGTGCTAATCACACAAATGAATGCCCCCAGCGGGACTTGAACCCGCGACCACGCTGACACAGCAAGTAGGGTCACTACAAACTGAGCCAAACGTGTCGTCAAATTTTCTCATTACTTTTATGTTTAGGCTATGAAATAATAAATTGAGCAAGGTTTCTTTTAAAACTATTTATATCACGGTTATATAAAACACCATTATGTAATATACTCTATTTGACATGCTAATACTAAAATAACAATAATATCAATGTATTCGTGTCTTCTCCATTTCACGTGACATTGAATGGCGATTAATCTGTGCTCAAATGGCACGCTTCGAAGACATTAACAAGATAATTGAATTGAATTCATCATGTTATATTAATCAGCGGAAAAGGTTAACAAGTAACGAAATATATAAAGATAATATAGGGAATCTGCATGTGATTCAAATAAAGGTGAAATATGTTTTTTAATAATCTTTATTGTTTTTGAATTTATCCTATAACAATATATTTTTCTATGTAATTTCTTTTGGATTAAGAAAGTAATTACGAGTATTAAAAAGTGCAAATATAGATAAGAAATTCAAAGTAGTTGAAACGCACGCCATTTGTCGGACCGAATATGACATCAAGTATTATCTTATCAGAGCGATTAGCGACAGCGCGAAATGTCGAGTGTTTAAAGTAACCGCATCGATATGATATTTTTATTTATATACTAAGTTTTAATTTTTTGGAGCTGGATATTTTTTTTACAATTATATAACTATTTAAAAAAATCACGCATATTCCGTATTCAAAGAGACACGGGGTAATTTCATTAGTCTAGTCAAATGTTACCCACAATTTCGGTATCTTTTGAAAACCAGCTAGATTCTATTTAAACTAAGAAAGACCAATACAATGACACTAAGTTTTTTTATGTTTTTTTTCAGCATAGTGAAAAAAAAAACAAAGTTTTTTTTCATGTTACATGTGTGACTTGAAGGGAGGCCCACACCCAGCAGTGGAACGTTAGAAAGGACTGAATACAAATAAATAGTTTACCTTGATTACTGGAGTAACCCTGGTTATAGCCACCGGCACTATCATAACCTTGATTATAATTCTGGTTATAACCTTGGTTGCTGTTGTATCCTTGGTTTTGGTTGTAGCCGCGATTATCGTAGCTCTGGTTTTGGTTGTAACCTTGGTTTTGGTATTGGTTGTAACCACCCGGTGGCACTTCGTAGGTTTGATAATTGCGTGAACTGTTGTTTGATTGACTGGATTGTGGTCTAAAAAAATAGCATTGAATAAGGTATAAAATTACATTGTTTGTGTACTTATAATTTTTTCATTAAGATTATTATGATGTAATGCCAAAAAATATATCACCGGAATTTTCACTTAGCAATACTATATTTAAATAATAATAATAATAAAAAATATATATGTTAGGACATTAACACACAGCACCATCTGGTTCCATGGTAAGCTACTAGGCTTGTGTTATAGATACGCGATAGTTGATACACTACACATATATAACTTTAAATACATACATATTATAAATATAAACACACATGACTGGAGTACAAACATACGTGCATATCACCCAAATGAATGTCCCCAGCGGGACTCGAACCCGCGACCGCTGGCACAGCAACTAGGGGTCACTACAAACTGAGCCAAACGTGTCATCAAATTTAAATACTCAAAAATAAATTATTTTACTTTTGCTTTTAAAATATTTAAGCACTAACAGTTATCAATATATACTCTTGGCACATGTTTACAATAAAATATTTAATTAGTCATATTATGCCTTCTTAAATAAAACTATATTTTCGAACATTTTCGTGGATGTTTTGGTTTTTGGTACTAGACGTTTCGAATGCTTTCCAGCAGGAATCTCCCGAGAAAAGATAGTTTTATTTAAAACTAGCGAGTCACCCTCGCTCCGCTCGGCACCACCCTATTTACGTGTTAAGGTTTAGTATAGATTTCTCGAAGATTAGATATTTTCCCGCAGTAAAAAGTATCCTATATATTGACCCGAATAACCAACTATCGCTATATCAAATTTCATCAAAATCTGTCCAGTAGTTTTCTCTTGATGCGGTCAGACAGACAGACAGACAGACAGACAGACAGACAAACAAACAAAAACTCTAAAAACTATAGATTCGGTCTCTGTATCGATAATAATGACTATTTCAATAAGATTTTCCAAAAAATAGTTATTGTATAACAGATTTGACTCAGAATTTTATTATATGTATAGATGTCAAATATTCGCGTAAGTCTAATAAAATATTAATCATAATATGCCTGTTAAATTTAGTTTTTACTCGCGTGGCCTATACAATCTAATATATAAAACTCTCGTGTTTGCAACAAAACTTCTCCGAAACGGCTTGACCGATTCGATTGTTATGAAATTTTGTGTTATATTTAGTAGGTCTGAAAATAGGACGTAAACTATTTTTCATACCCCTAAGTGATAGGACTGAAGATAAGGGTGGTCCACCCCAAAACATTTTTTTTATTTTTTTATTTTTTGGACAAAATTTTTTTTTTATGATTCGGCATTAAAAATTACATACAAACCTAAATTTTCACCTTTCTACCATAGGTATCATATAATATATAGTCTATCTATTGCATACAAACCGTTAAAACGTACCTAGGGACGAACCCGAGCGAAGCGAGGGCGAGTCGCTACTCGCTAGTATACATATATCATCCTTACCTCTGATCACCCTGATTGTATCCGCCCTGCACTCTCCCTCTACCGCCGCCTCGACCACCCCCTCCTCTCTGCTGACCACCACCAACGGCACCACCACCAGCACCACCCATACCACCACCACGTTGTTGACCACCACCCCCGCCCCGAGCACCGCCTCGACCACCCTGTAATATATGGATTAACCCTTTATATCACAGTGGAATAGTACTGGAAATAATAGTAAATTATCTTATCTTATTACTATACTAGAGACGCACCCTCACTTCGCTTGGGTTTGGCCCTAGCTTGATTCCCCATACAAACGTTCATCCCCATTTTCATCCCTTTAAGGGATGATTTCCGGGATAAAAAATATCCTATGTCCTTCCCAGGGTCTCGAACTACCTTCTTACCAAATTTCACTTAAATCGGTCCAGAGATTACTCCCTACAACGTCACAAACTCATAAACTCACAATCTCACAAACTTTACCTCTTTATAATATTAGTATACGTAAATGCAAAAGTTTTTATGGATAGATATTTGTTACTCAGTCACACTAGAACGACTGAACAGATCTGGATAAAGTTTAGCACAAAGATAGACTGGAACTGGAGAGAGTCTAGAATAGCACAAAGAATATTTTTTATACAGGAAAAATGTACGGTTCCCGTGGAATACATTTGTTTTGTTTTTCACTTGGGATGAAGTTGAGTAAAGCGAGGGTGAGCCACTAGTTTCTTAATCTAAAGCAAATGACTTTTTCAGTTATAAAACACTTGAGAAATAATTTGTTCAAAATAAAATACAACACAAAATTTCAACCCCTATTTCACCCCATTCAAGTTTAACTTTTACACCAAAAAGTAGTCTATGTCCTCCCAATCCTTCCATCTCTATACCAAAATTCATCAAAAATGGTTCAACAGTAATAGGCGTGTAAACGTTACAGACAGACATACAGAGTTAATTTTGCATTTATTTATACTAACATTATAAAGAGGATAGATATTTAGTTTGTTTGTATCGAATAAGCTCCCAAAGTCCAAACTACAGGACCGATTTAGATGAAATTTGGTAAAAAGATGGTTTGAAACCCTGGGATAAAAATAATACTATGTCCTTCACGTAGGATTATTTTATCCCGAAATCATCCCTTAATAGAATCAAAATGGGAATGAAAGTTTGTATTGGGAATCAGCCTAGGGACGAACCCGCGTCGCTAGTAATATATTGTATGGATTTCATACCTGCGGTGTAGACCTTTGTTGCCAAGAGGGCATTTCGGGGGGCGGTGGCTGTTGTTCATTTGGACGACCGCCTCTGTCTGGCACCTAAAATAAAAAACAATATTTAAGGTACCTACATATATTTATAATTCTTATCTTTACTGTAAATTTGTTTGTAATAACCAAGAATGTCAATATCATGTATTATGTTCTCGATGCGATAATCGAACCTGCTATCTAACAAACTTCTTACTTAGTAATAGCATTTTGTGATCATATGTTAATTAGAAACCCATAATCTAAAAGCAGACTTTTCAAAATAAAATAAAAAAACTAACACAAATTGTCGCCTATTTGTTCAAACTATCAATACTTATTGTACTTTACACTAGAGTTTTTCCTGTATTTTAAAAAATATTACAGCTTTATTTCTAAGAAATATATACAAATATAGATAAAGTACATCATTTTGTTTTTTTAAAGTAAATTATGTGTTTGTACCTGTATCTGTTAAAAACTTTTTCAGCAAATTGGCCACTTGAACAAATAAGCACTGAGATGACCAAATATAAAGTAATTATAACAATTCAACTCACCTTTCCAATAATAACTTTATTGACATCACTCTGAGTATTCTTCCTAACATTTGCATTCGATGTTTTCTCAATTTGCAACAGAGAAGTTCTGGCTGCTAGGAAATCTGAGAACTTGATATCAGGTTTTACTTTCAAATGTTCTCTTTTAGGTCTGTATGTGGATTGGATAAGATCCTTTTTGGCTTTTAATCTGTCTGACCACTAAAATAAAGCAAATTTATTTAAAATAACATAATTGTAAAATAATATGTAGGTTCTATTTTCCTTTATTTCCATCCTATAATAGTATATAAAATATGCGAGTGCTTTTTTTTATTTTGTTTTTGGACAATCTTAATGCAATCAGAATAATTATAAATTTAAACAAAAACCTTTGCTTGCATAAATAAAAAAATATAGTAGAAATTCTCAGTTTTGTACCGTCATGTATAAAAAGAAAATATAAATATATACAGAAAAACGTACATAGGGGGTAGTAGTGATTGCATAGTAGAATTACGAAAGCAGGCAAAGCCGAGACATAATGTAGTTAGAAATAATTTTATTACCTCAAAACTTTGTATAGTGCATTCCAATCTTGTAATAAGAGTTTCTCTCCTTAACCTATATTCTTCAAACATTTCTGTAAATGTTGTTTCTAATTGCTTCCATTCTTTATCCGATAAAGCTTTATTGTATAACGGCTTACCCACTAATTGTTCACCTGAAGTTATATATTATATTAATTTAAACATACTTTTATTTTATAAGTATGTATAATATAAATATAAATTAAAGTTTTTTTTTAATATTTAATAAAAAAATATACAATAAAATATACTCTTTTTCAATAAATTAAATATATTTTCTGATATATGTGAGAAAGCAGTATATTAGTGTTGAATATGTAATAGTCAATAATAGCATTAATTATTTACTTTAATAGTAAATGAAATAATTAATTGTAGTATTTTTAATTTTTATAAAAAAAATCCAATAATTTATTGTTTTTGTCATCAATCAAAAAGTACTACATACACAATCCCATGCAAAAGTTCTCGTAAAACGGTCGCCAATGGTATTTAGGTCATTATTCCAGTTGAAACAAAGAAACAATAATGTAAATTAAATCTTAAATGCAATGCTTAAAGTTGTTTTCAGAAAAAAAATTTGAAAGCGCACCGAAATGGTCAAGAATATGGTCATTTGGTGGTGACATTTTTTGTCGCTGATTGTGTATCTTGTACTTTTTTGATCGGTGGTTTTTGTATAACTTGCCTTCTTTCTGTACAGTATCTTTGAGCTTTGCTTCTAATTTAGAAAACAACATTTCCGCTGTAATATTTGGTGGTGGTTTGTTGAATTTCAGTTGTATTAATATGTCCTTTAAATCTTTCGCTGTAGGAGATTCTTGCTAAAAACAAATGGTTAAATACTAAATAGTGTTTCCAAAAAGTGTTTATTAATAGGGTGCTATTTTGAAATCTATACTAATATTATAAAGAGGTAAAGTTTGTGAGTTTATGACGTTTTAGGGGGTAATCTCTGGATCTACTGAACCGATTTTGATGAAATATTGTAAGAAGATAATTTGAGACCCTGGGAAGGACATAGGAGGAATTTTCATCCCGGAAATCATCCCTTAAGGGGGTGAAAATGGGCATGAAAGTTTGTATGGGGAATCATGTTCCCTAGTTAAGAAATAAAGTGGCAAAAGTTATGGAGTCTTAAAGTTACAATTTATCCACATAACTATGAATTTCACAATACAATAATGTATGGAAGTATGCCCGATTTGTTGACATTTATGATTACTGCTCCATTCCCTTGGTTAGTAGCATGATGATATATGCGTTCCTCAATAAACGGGCTATATAATGCAAAAAGATTTTTTCAAATAGGATTAGTAGTTCCTGAGAATAGCACATTCAAACAATCAGTTTCTGTCTCTTTATAATATTATAGAATAGATATAAGAATCGATGTCTATATGTATGTTCCCTATGGACTCTAAAACGAACCCAAAGCTGATAGTTTTCAGGCAATATTCAGATTTGCCCAGAGGGTGATCGTGTGAACTTTGGTAGGGATCGGAAGTTTGAACGCAGACAAAGCCGCGGGCACTACTAGTACTCCTTAAATCCTATGTATACTTCCTAATACCCAAGTATACATCAACGCAATCAAAAACAATAAAATCAGGTAAAAAAATATCTAACATAATGTAAATAACATTTTTTATATAAATATTCCAAATATAACCCAGCCATTTTAATTGACTATTGATAGCTGTCTGATAATAAGAAGAAAAAAGACATTTATCTTTGAGTTGGTTAAAAATTAAAATTATCAATAAAATCCAATAATTTTAATATAAACCTTCTCCTATACATAGTATAAAGCAGTCACTGTCATGTATTCACTATCATGTAGAGATTCTTCCGGACGATTTATATATACATATAATACAGGCATATTGTATAGTAGAAAAATGCCGAGAATTTCAAATATTTTTAATGATGTCGTATAAAACAAATTTTGGGCGATTACATAGCTCACGCTATGGCTAAACCTTTAGAGATACATCAAAACAATGTACTAGAAAATTGTAGGTCTTAAAAAGATCTACAGAAAAACCCGCGATAGCAAGTGTGTACCTCCTAAGGTACTCTCATAAATAACTATTTTTATTTATGTAAAACGCACCCGAGCGCAGCGAGAATAAATTGCTAGTGCTATATACATACATATAATTGGGTATATGTTTGTATAATTAATTATATATTAATCTGTAAAATTATCTATGAAGAAAGACCTGTAAGAAATTCTATTTAACAATATTATTTGCTATAGACATGGATGTTTACAGCTGAAAGCCGATAGGTGGCGCTTTAGTCAAGTTAGATAATAACTCCTAAAATATTTATTTTAGATCAAATAATTCTTTGTCACGGTACACAAAATATAATGGCTTAGTGCCTAAAAAAATAATCACAAAATAAACGATAAGTGGCGCTGTCATCGATATATCACCTAAACAAAGTCTACTATTCCAATTTAAGATTATAATATACATAAATATAGTATATTTCTAGCTATTTTTTACTTAGATACGAAAAAAAATATATACATATATAACTAGAACTTGCCATATGATAAACAAATTGAGCATTTTACTAAAGCCAGTAGTGGTGTAATGGCTACACTGGCATATACAATGCGATGGTCCCGAGTTCGAATCCCGCTCGCATGTTCACACAGACAGCTGTCTTCATAGACAACGCGTCTGCAACAGCATGCTAGATCAAAGGAAGAATATTTACGCGGCTTACCAATGTTAGCCGAGTTGTGTACACTTTCAACAATATTATTTTTGTGTTTTGCTAAATTTTTGGGCTCGCATCAAAGATATTTTCATGTGCAAATCATTTTCAACATGAATACCAAATGTCTTACGGTGAAGGTAAACATCGTAAGAAAACCTAGCAAGTTCTCGAAAGACATGCTCAGTCCGCCCGCACTTGGCCAGCGTGGTGGGCTATGGCTTGATCCCCCTCGTATTGAAAGGAGGCCCACGCCCAGCGAAACAGCGCCCAGGACTTTAAAAAGGTCTAAATACCATGCAATTTTGCTAATGATACCTTAATGCTATTGCTTAAATTCTTATTTTGGAATGAAAGTGAAACTTTTTAAGCACTTTATTTATTCTATTTTTTGTATATTTTGTAAATATAATTGAAAATTAATTTTGTGTTTGAATAGTTTTTTAATTTCACTTGAAATATTATCTGTTTTCATATTTTAAACTTTTTTGGTTATATAATTATATTTATTTGTCTTGTAGAATGTTGTGTACAAATATATTTGAACTGTATATTTAAGTTAGTAAGTAAGATTTTTTTATTTTATTTTTTTTATTCTGTGCCTTAAAAAATAAAATAAAAATATAATAGTCATTTTTTATTTGATTGTGTTATATTCAATTCGGTAAATTAGATTTTTAAAAATATTTCTTTCTTAATTTTTGTTCTATCTTTTTGTTTTTACATTACAAGCTTAGTATATTTCAATTGAAATTTAACATACCATGACTATCTCCATACCAGCTTTCTTCTCATTTGGACTATCAACACTGACCATTCTTGCCGCCATTAATTCAGATATTAAATAATCTAGCAGAAGTAGCCTATCTTCTTTACTTTGAAGACGGGATGACATATGACCTGAAATTATAATGATTCATTATGATAAGTGATATAACATTAAAATATAATATATATACTATTATATGTTTGATTACATTCATTTTATTATAATAGTTAGATAATAAATTGACTTCATTCTGCTCTTTTGCATGCAATTAGTCTTTCATATATATTAATATAAAGCAAACACAAATATATAAATTAATTAATAGAAACAAAAAATATATAAAAAAGATTGACACTCATTAATTTAAATAGTTTTTTTAATTTCATAAGCAAAACAAACTATTTTAAAAAGTATGCAACCAACAATAACAGAAACAGGTATAATTTAACAGAAAATAGCTTTAAATTAATTTTGAAAAAAAAAGAATGCAAAAGTTTAAGAAAAGTCGAACTACTTGTTTAACATACCAGTGATTAGTTTTTTATAAGGACATCCAAGCTCTTTTAGAAAAGAACTTAATTCTAATAAGAATGCACTTGATTCATCGGGATCATTCATCATATTTACTGTTTCTTCAACTTTACATAATTGTTTTAATTCTTCTGCTAGGATATGGACTAATTTAGTATATTCAAGCGATTTCGGACCTCCATCAAGAGCTTTCGCAAAGGCAACATCATCTGCAAGTGGCCCTTCATAGCTGTAAATATATCAATGATTAATGATTATTCATTTAATGATTTATTATGTACTGACATGAACACAAAAAAGTTTCCATTATATTGTTAAGGATTTAAAAGAAAAGATAGTCCTAATTTTGAACCTCCAGGAATAAATACTAATATGTAAACACTCTTAGATTAGAAGATTATCAGATATATTTATTTAGTACTTGTTAGTCTTTAAAATTCTTTAAAGTTTAGTAAGTTAACATACGTTGTGAATTATCACAAGCCTCTGCCATGTCACATCTTTTATATGCTGTGGTGCAGATATATTGATTTTTTTTCTCATTATGATTATAACATTTGATACTATTTCCACTTAGCAATTTGTACCAATAATTAATAATTAATCACGACAACGGAGAAAATTAACGTATGATATATTTATAATAAAGTGAAATCAAATTGAAAGTCCAAAATAAGGCGTGGTAATAATTGAAGTTACCGAGCTATTTTAAAAAGAAAAATGTATACAATAAAAGTAAACTAAAATTCATTTAATACATAATAAACAATAGTATTCTTGGAATCTTGTTACGACCGGTAAGTAGGTATTGCATATTACCTCTCTTGCTACTTTAAGACTTTGTGTCTTTTTAAATTAAAAATGTACCTACCTCAGAATATATTTTAACATGCCCAATTTATTTCATTTTTTTTAAATAATCAATGTGTTGCAGCTGGCTATAGAAAGTTACAAAAATTATTATAAATTCACAAAAGTAAACTTTATAACCTAGAAAAAGACTTACCCCAAATCATTCAATGAATCCAAGATATCGTTCTCCATATTTTTATTTAGGTCCTGTCTAACAGGAACAAATAATATTGAACACTAATTTGGCTGTTATTATCCTATTTCACTATCTAGAATTCTTTATTCACGAAAAGTAATAAAACATAAATGATAAAAATGTCGTCAGCGGCCACCGTCAACAGCCAATGCACTAGTGATGCGCAGCGCGAGTATGACTATTGACTATGAAATTGAATGACTCCAGTCGAATTATTCGACTTTATAAATCATTCGACTCATTCGAATGAATTACGAAGTTTGTAACTAACTTGATACCCGCTTCAATTTGTCGCTAGAGTTGTATATTTAGTAACGTTTCCTTCGATTGACAACTTGAATGTATGTTTTACGTATGGCGCACCGGCACGACCGAATCACGCCTCATAGGTAAAGGGAAGCAAGTAAAGTTTTACTTACTACTAAGTAACAGTAACAAGTATAATATTGTTCAGATGTTTAGTTATGTAATTCGACTGAGGCGCTGACATAAGGGCGACCGCTCTAACTGATTATTCGGCGCTGGAGCGGCGAGCGGCAATGATCCATTCATTCCTATTTCATTTTAAACTGGCGAATGAGTCACAGTCGCGACCAATTTACATAGTTGAAACGCCTTTAGTAATTACTAATTAGTAATAGTTATTCGATAATATATATATATATATATATATATAAATATATCGAATATGTAAATTAGTAGTTGTAGATAATTCGAACTCCAAACTTTCAATCGCTACCAAAATTCCTGGGCTTATCCACTCGCTGGGCTGATCTGAAGATTATCTGAAAATTTCATCAATATCGCTCCGCTGTTTTGGAGTCCACAACATACATATACACATTGATTTTTATTTTATTTAATCAACAATTTAAATTTATTTATTGCTCGGAAAATTGAGTCTTATATAAAAATTTGGTGACACCGACTGTAGCGCCACCAACCGGATCCATTTGTGAATTCAAACCTTGCAGGGACTCACACTCAAATACACAAAAATGTTCAACTAAATCGGTCCAGCCGTTTAATAGGAGTTAGGTGACTAACACACGTACAGAAAAATTATATATATTAAGATGGTTTTGGGAGGCTAAAAATCAACCCAATTTCAAGTGGATGTTTACATTTAATTTTTTTTTCCTTCTATTTTTACGTATGGCTTATTTTTTCCGTCTTAAACTCTACTTTTCGGAAAAACAAAAACATTGTCGCTTCAAAAGCGATCAAAAATAATAAAAGATATATTAAAAAAATAGATTGTACGGGACAAAATACAAAAGAATGGGCATACTTTACGTGACTTCCATTTTTTTTGTCATTGATAATATAGTCATAAATAATAGGGTCAAGTTAAAAACCTAAGCATACGCTTTTTTTTTCGTAAAACACATTGGTGTAGTGTGTATAAATTAGCCAATCCTAAAAATTGAATGATTTTTTTAAAATAAAAACATCCACTTGAAATTGGGGGTGATTTTCAGCCACTCAAGACCATAAAACATAAATTTCTCGGAAAAAGTTAAATATTTCAATTTTATATGTATTTCAAAGATTATATTCCTCTAGTTTCATTGAAATTAAAAAAATATTGCGGAAATTAAAAATAAAAAACCAAGAAAATTTAAAAATGGATTTTTTGCAAATATCTCTAAAACTTTTTTAATAGACGTTATTGTAAAAAGTATCATTTATTAAAGTTGTTGATTTTTACTGGATTTACAACTTTTGAAGAGAACATTTTTCGATAGGATATCATAGTACGAGTAAGCCGGAAATTGGAAAAAACTATTTTTCAAAACTTTTCATACCTCTATTTCGCGGGCGTAGCTGGACATTGGGGCCATTTTACGGATTTTTGTTCCTTATATGCTAACGTTTTGAAGATATACAACTTTATGTTTTAATTTTTTTGTTCCCAAACCGGATTCCGATCGGACTAATCAGTATATAAAAGCCTTAATTTTATTTTATTGTTATGACAGAAGTGCTTTCTATTTATTTCAGTCAAAATAGTGCAAGTGGGCTGGGGGTGGGAAAAATAGGGCTTTAATAGCAATTGACAATGATTCTGCAAAAAGAGATACAAATGGCGAAGCGCCTGATTAATTTTGACCGCAATAACTTTGTTATACAAAAAATTGCTTATAACTAACTTAAACTAAATTACGAAAGCTTAAACAAGGTATTTTTTTCAATAGGCGAATGTTCGACATTCAAACCGAATTTCGGCGGAATGCCGAAGTTCGGCTCAAGCTGCTGAAATTCGGTTAAACCGAATGTAAATCGAATTTCGGCCCATCCCTAAATATAAACTATATTTACATTTTAATCGTTTATAACTCGTACGTAATAATATGAATGAAAAATCTCAATGTCATTTAAAATAAAAAATACTATCATTACTTACCATTTAGATTTTCAAGAAAATATTATGATGAAACGTTGCATTTATAATAAAAACAGCAGAATCCGCGGTTTCGCCCATGATCAATCTACAAAAAAACTCTTTAGCTTTACGAGTACCTATGTTATATAGCGACTCACCCTCGCTTTGCTTGCATTCGTTCTTGTTCGTTCGTTCTTGCATGTATTTGTATAATATATAGTAGCAGCATAATGATATATAGTTATACTAGCGGACCCGACAGACGTTGTCCTGTCTACACGTCTTTAATTTGAAAATTTCAAACTTTTTTTAATAAGCTAAAACATTCTGGACCATTTTGATGAAAATTATTATTCAAATTGTGAATCTAAACCATTCCCAGATCCCCTTGAACACACACAAAAAATTTCATCAAAATCGGTCCAGTCGTTTGAGAGAAGTTCAGTGACATACACACTCACAGAAGAATTATATATATAAAGATATCCTATTGCCTTCCACAATAAACGGGCTATTTAATGCAAAAAGAATTATTCGAATCGGATTAGTAGTTCCTGAGATTAACGCGTTCAAACTCTGCTTCCTTATAATATTAATCTAGATTAGTATAGATATCAGTTATGTAGTACAACATGTACGAGTATAATAAAATACAAATCTATCCCACGGGAACCGTACATTTTTCCGGGATGAACAGTAGCCTATGTGTTATTCTGATGTGTGAGCTACATTATTGTTAAGTTTCATTAAAATCCATTCAGTAGTTTTTGCATGAAAGAGTAACAAACATCCACACATCTACACATCCAGACATCTTCACAAACTTTCGTATTTATACTATTAAGTAGGATTAATGTTTCTCAAATATCATACTTGATACTCTACTACTATTGAATTAAACATGAATAGTTTGACAGCCGCCTAATTTTTTATACTGTGTTAATTACCTACTCTAAAATGTAACGTAATATCACGGTAATATGTACTACATTATACATTACATTACCGTGGTAATATTATATGTAAGGAATCAACAAGTAACCAAATCAATAATTTTTAAATAGGTACTTAATTTGTGGCAATTAATAGAATATAGTTTGATCGGTTTCTAATTTATATTACGTTCAAAATATTTAGAAACTATTTAGAAATGATGTCATCAGATACTAACAACATATATTTATATTTTGTACTAATAACATTTATTTTTTGCAAATTCTTAGAATTTAGAAAGAATAAAGTTAAATCTTTAAAACCAGTTTTAATATCCATGTTGTTGGAAAATAGTTTATAAATAAACTAAATAAACCATGTTACGTAATGTAGATGGTATCAACAAACATGATACATTTGTAGTAGTGTGTCTGTGTGTGTAGAGATACCTGCGCTCGCGCATTACAGGTGATCATGTGCGTTATTCAGTATAGGCCCCCCAAATTTATTTATCTCAAATATATATTATTTTTTGATACTTTATTTTATTTTTATTAAACATGATTTTAAACTCAATTACATTTACGAAAGTGCTATTATAATGTATATTTATTACTTAACAATACAATTGGAGACTTTTGCTCAACACCAAAGCCCAGGCGATTATTATAGAAATGTCGATGTAAGATCCTTTACTTATTCGATTTCTAAATAGAGTATTCTTATTACTTTACTCATAAGATAATAATATCTAATCTTTAAACGATGAAAAGATCCATTTGATAGCATTAAGGTCAGTAAATTACTGAACAGTCTTTGTAATTAATTAGACAATATACGGCTAGGGTCGTTACGGAAAGGCGGAGCTGAGTAGTCAACAAAACGTGGCCCTGCAAAAGACAAATAGTAAGGAAGTACAAAAAAGTCTAAAACGTGATCTATCTATTATGGTTTTTGAATTATCTTCTTCTACATAAATAATAATATCGGTATCCGGCGTAAAAAATAAGTTGTTACTTTTTTGTTATCTTAAATGACAGAACTTGTTTTATGAAGTTTATAGTTATAGTAAGCTAGTGACTTACCCCCGCTTCGCTCGGGTTCGTCCTTGTTTACGTGTTAGCGTTTAATATAAATTTCTCAGAGGTGAGATATTTTCCAGCTGTAAAAAGTATCCTATATGTTGACTCGGGTAACCAGCTATCATCATACCAAATTTCAACAAAATCTCTCCAGTGGTTTTCTTGTGATGCGGTAACAGAGAGACAGACGGACAGACAGACACACAAAAATTCTAAAAACTGTAGATTCGGCCTATTTATCGAAAATAATGGCTATTTCAATAAGATTTTCCAAAAAATATTTAAAGTACAGATTCGACTGAGTTAGAATTTTATTATATGTATGTGTATATAAAAATCAGTGTCTAAATATGTTTATGTTCTTCTTAGTTTTGATTTATGCGAGATTACTTTAGATTATTTACTAACTATTTTAAAATGTTAATAAATATTATTGGGCAAGATGTAAAAGATATTATATTTTAAGATTTTTTCTTTTTTTAATTAAGTATTTCTATTTTTAAAACTAAAAGTTGTAACATTTGTATTTATTTAGTTATACGTATTTTAGATGACATTTTGGATAAAATAAAAAATACGAATTTAATATTATTAATATATTATCCTAGTACATCTATCGAAACGTCCATCATCGGAGCCCAAACACGTTTTCCACACACGTCCCACAATCACAGCCTATTCAAAAGTAAACTACGTAAAACGCCACAGTCGACCGCGCGGGCTGACGCGGTGCACGTCTTTATCTTCGCTTTAAAATAAAAAAAAGTTACGCGCAAAACTTTAGCAAGAGTAATGTGAATAAATTACAAATATCTATTCGAACATTCGTGCCATAATAGTGATGTTATACTGTGTAATTTAAAATGGGTGTTATTTTGAAGTTTATCTTAGTGACGGTCGTCTTACCTTGTGTTTTGGGACAAACTCAAGAAGAATGTTTTGGCGCGGGAAGCGTAGCAGGCGCAGCGATCGGTGCCTTCATTGCGGCGTTTATTTTAATCGGTGCAGCATATTACTTCAGAAAATGGTATTGGAAATCCCGTAAAGGTAGGCCATTATGTTATTATTTTAAGTTTTTGTTTTAAACGCCTGCGGGTGGGTTAAATTACCCACGTAGTTTAATGTAGAAAGCAATGGCCTTTTTAAATATTTTTGATGTTGGAAATGTGCTTCCACTCTCCATATAAATTGTTAGATACTACCTTCATAAGTAATTCAATTCTTTAGTTTCATGGCTTCTAGGAACTTTCATAAGTATTCTACATAAGTTGGTTTTGACATACTATAGATAAAAATTAGGCTGCAATTTAATCAAAAAATGTCAAACGTAAGCACTATGAACTATCAACTATCAAGGTTCACGAAACACGTAGCTTAATGTCTCTCAAACACTAAGATACTTTTTAGCCCTACCGTAATAAATATAATAAAGCTTCCTAAGATTCCTAAAATACATAAGGTAAATTTAAACTTAAAGAAATACCAACAACTTTCTATGTCAGTAAAATAAATAAAATAACCTTCGCCTATTCTGTGAGAATTAATTATCATCGTCGACTTCGTAGTGGTGATTTTGAATTGGGGCTGATACAGCACTTTAAGCAGTAACCTACAGACAAATAAAGTACTAGCATTGGCCGCGGCTCCGCCCGCGATCAGATGACCAAAAACCAAATTCTTATGTTTTACATATTAGTATACATTGCAGTTTTTGTATTTTTTCTCCGAAATAAAATATTTTCCCAGGGTAAAAAATATCCTATATGTTGACCCGGATAACCAGCTATCACCATACCAAATTTCATCAAAATCCCTCCAGTGGTTTTTCAGTGATGCGGTAACAGACAGACAGACAGACAAAAATTCTAAAAACTATAGATTCGGCCTCTATATCGATAATAATGTTTATTTCAATAAGATTTTTCAAAAAATATTTAATGTACAGTTTCGGCTTAGTTATAATTTTATTATATGTATAGATTAATATCATCTTGCACTTAATCTACAGTTCTCATCAACAAGTTGTAATCACATTGTAATTTGTAAGTACACAAAATATGTTAGCCTTAAACAACAGATTATATTATATAGGTATTTATAATTTATACACCTACGACTCACCCTCGCATCGCTCGGGTTAGTCCCTAGGTACGTTTTAACGGTTGGGATGGATATCCCACGGGAACCGTACATTTTTCCGGAACAAAAAGTGATCTATGTGCTATTCCACACTATAATCTATCTCTGTGTCAAAATTTATCCTGATCCGTTCAGCCGTTCTGGCGTGATTGTTACTCAACAAACATCCATCCATCCAAACTTTCGCATTTATAATATTTATATTGGGATTTCTTAAAATACGTTGACAGTGCGCATTCTAAAGTTGCTACTAATACGTTGTAAGTTGGTTACACTAAAGTGTTAATATGTATATTTTTTCTCATTGGCAAACATACTACGAGTATGTATGGAACTTTCTTCAATTTCTCTTTAATTTATCACTTTTGAAAACGCCAAACTTACTGATATATGATGTGCTTAATCTATACTAATATTATGAAAAGGTAAAGTTTGTGAGGTTGTAGGGTGTACCCTACATACAAATTTACAAACTTTTAACTCTACACCTCCAGGTAAATTTCTAAGAAATTAATTAATTTTTTTAGAAATCTATTGTTAACTGTAACGCCGGCGTGTCCGCGGTCGTTGAGGGATTATTATTAGTGTCGATAAAATTGCTCGTGCTGTTATTTCTATTTATTTAATTTTTCGATATATAGACTATATAAATCTGGCAGTTCCAAAGATGAGTACATTCAAACAAATAAAAATAAAAAATAATCCCAACAGCTTTATAATTTTAGTATAGATTAGGTACTTTAGCAAATTATAGTCAGATCATATTTCGAATGTAAGGCTTCGGTCATTGTTTTAAATACTTGAAACTTATAGACTTAAATTATACTAATGTGTTTAGGTATTTGTTCATATGTCTTAAAAATATTGATTTTGATGAAATTTTATATGGTGATAGCTGGTTATCCGGGTCAACATATAGGATACTTTTTACTGCGGGAAAATATCTTATTATTGAGAAATCTATACTATACGTTAAAGCGTAAGTAGAGACGAACCCGAGCAGAGCGAGGGCGAGTCACTAGTGATTAATAAGTATATAATACATAATTTAACTACGCAAGCGGAGTCACGGGAAAACGTCAGTATAAAATAAATAATATTGATTTTTAATGGGTGACTACATTTTACAATTACTTACCATCTAACCTCAGTAACCCGTCAAGGGCGTAAGTTGTTATACTGGTTATGTTACTCAATCGAGATATTAAAGTTTATCATTAGATTTACATATTAGAATTGCTTTGGCAAAATGACATGTTAGAGGAAAGGTATCAAAATTTCGTAAAGTAATTTTGATTAATATAATGTTTAGGAAAATTATTTGTATTTATTTTTGTTTTTTGGTAGTAAAGTACAAGACAGATTCATAACTTTAACGTTTCAATTATGATTGATGTAATTTAATGATTACACTGGCACGTGTGAAGCACTTGATCGAATAATAATCGCCAAAATGCCTTACATCATTTTGGAAAAGAGCTGATACTCTTACACTGTTGGACCGATATTAACTAAACATAGCTAAGAACCGCCGCAAGGAAACTGGCTTTCAAATTAAAAAAAACCGCATCGAAATCGGTCCAGCCGTTTGAGAGCTATGATGCCACAGACAGACAGAGAGAGACAGACAGACGGACATCGACGTCAAACTTATAACACCCCTCTTTTTGCGTCGGGGGTAAAAATCATAATAATTAAAATATTAAAATCCATTATTCTATAAACTTAATTTTGAAGATTAGAAGAAAGAAAGAAGAATATGGATAAAAACTATTTAAAATGTTCGATATATTCCACAGTACCTATATTAGCCTACTTTGCTAATGCCTCACATGCTCTATATTGCTGAAGATATTAAGATTTCTGATAAGATAAGGTTACGGCATCGTTTTCAAGAAAAGTAAAGCTAGAATCTATGAAATACATACATACATATTATATATTATATCAGATTTTTCTTAATAAGAACCTCACTAGTTTTATTATTTATCTCTGTTGAACTTTGTCCATACGTATAATAAAATTCTAACTGATTCGAATCTGCACATATATATTTTTTGAAAAATCTTATTGAAATTATAATCATTATTATCAATACAGAGGCCGAATCTATACTTTTTTTAAAAATTGTCGGTCTGGGAACGAACCACGAGAAAACCACTGGACAGATTTTGATGAAATTTGGATATTTAGATATGAAGTTAGATGAGATTGTCAGAGTCAATATATAGGGTACTTTTTACTGCGGAATAATATTTCATCTCTGAGAAATCTATACTAAACGTTAAAACGTAACGAAAACAAAAACGAACCCGAGCGAAGCGAGGATGAGTCGGTAATAATGGTATAAAAATAAAGACTTATTAAAACAAATCTGCCTAAATTTCATAGAGCTAAAATTTTGTTATAACAAACCTTATTTATTCAATTCGCAAATACAATAAAGCAATAAAAATACATACAATGTAAAGTTTTCCGTCATAAAGGCATAAAATTTTAATGGTGTAAATGTTCCATGTGGGTTCAAACCATAAAACAATTAGAAAGCATAGATAATATGATTTTTAAAGATAGCCTAGTCTATGACAGCTTTCTCTAAAACTTTTTATATTAGGTCTTTGTCTAAAAAGGAAGTCATGACAGTTAGATACTTCCTTTTAAGATGTCTATGAGAATGCATACACACATTACGTAAATAAAACATGCGATCATACGTGACTAAAAAATAGCACGTTTATCATGCTAGATGTTATTTTGTAACAATCTGTTTTAAATATTGTTTAAAATTTGTAGGAAATATTAAGGTTTTTATGGAAATATTGATATGACACATACGTTTACTAAAAAAACGATGTAAAAAATCACACGGGCTCTATAAGGCAGTTGTGTTATTAATTAAAATTAAAAGTATTCATATACATAATATAATATATAATGTAGCAATAGTTACAACAATATGATCTTTATTACCAAATTATAGAGTTTCAAATTACACAATTCAAAATATTGCGTGATATATAATAATACAAAATTAAAAGCGAAGATGAGCCTAATGAATAATTTAATAATTACTTAGAACGAATTATAGTTTTTAAAGTTGTATTTGACACATATTTTTTGCTACGCACATGATTATAAACTGGCGAAATAAAGGCGGTTTAGCACATATTTTTTTATTTTTAATCAAGACTTAAGTCATGATATTATAATTTATAATAAAAAAAATACCAATAATAAAAAAAAAACATTTGACCACCGTATATTTCTATTTTCTGCTCATAAATTATCTCTATGCAAGAAATTATTGATAAGTTCTATCCAAATCAAAAAAAATAACAAACATACGGTAAAATTTTCGGTACAGATTTAAAATATTTACTTGTCGTAAAGTCATTATATTTTACTCGTGTATTTAATTCAATGTTCATCTCATCTTACTCATTAATACACAGATAAAACCGTTATAATTATACAGATATACATACAGAAAAATGCGAATTGATTTGCCGCTTATCACATCATTAGAATTGTAAACGTAAAGGATTGGCTGGATCGTGGTGTAAGATTAAATTTTAACCAAATTAATGTTAATTAGAAACATTAAAGTACTTACATACAAATTTAATGTTATTTAAAGGCAGAAGATTTTAAATTATTAAAAATAAAACGTGAAGTCATGCGGATATGTAATAAGAGTATTATAATATTATTATACAAAAATAATATTATAAATGTGAAAGTTTGTGAGTATGGATGTATGTTTGTTACTCTTTCACGCCAGAACGGCTGAACGGATCTCGATGAAATTTGGCACAGAGATAGATTATATCTGGAATAACACATAGGCTACTTTTTATCCAAGAAAAATGTGTGGTTACCGTGGGATAGGTTTGTTTTTGTCTTCCTAG